GCAGCCATTTTGTGTTAACACACACACACACACACACACACACGCCATTTTGTGACTGGTACCACATTGAAACCCTAATTTTCATATGTTTTCATTTTATTTAATTCTTTAAAAACCAATGTAATGAGTAGTATCTAGAAAATGCTAAAGGTTTTAAATTTTCATTTTTGATTTTTATAATCAACATTTAATTACCATTTAATCACAAATTCAGTAGAGGTGGGTTGAGGGAGACGGGAGGGGTAGCAATGGCATTTGACAAGATACTCAAGATATAAGTACAACCACCTTATTACTAATATTTCCACCAAAAACCAAAAACATTTCTTCTTTGCATATCTGTTTTGAAATACAGTGGTACCTCGGGTTAAGTACTTAATTCGTTCCGGAGGTCCGTACTTAACCTGAAATTGTTCTTAACCTGAAGCACAACTTTAGCTAATGGGGCCTCTCGCTGCTGCCACTGCGCTGCTGGAGCACAATTTCTGTTCTCATCCTGAAGCAAAGTTCTTAACCTGAAGCACTATTTCTGGGTTAGAAGAGTCTGTAACTTGAAGCGTATGTAACCTCAAGTGTATGTAACCTGAGGTACCACTGTACAGAGTGCCTATATTATTATATATGATTAACTTAGGATTGATTACTTTGCTCGTTAACATGAGCTTTCTTTCTTTCTTTCTTTCTTTCTTTCTTTCTTTCTTTCTTTCTTTCTCATATTTGTATTTCTTTCTCATATTTGTATTTCTTTTTAAAGTAACACTCTGTTAATAATTAGCCATTGTAGGGCTGTTCAGCAGAAAAAAAGACTGTGCCGTTACATGTTTGCATATGTGCCATCAATTTATCAGCTCCAAATAAAAAGGAGGAGCCCTTTTGCTATGGTAGGCTCTTCCAACTGCCCATAGAACAAATCCTTAGCGTTCCATCCAAGCAAAACATAAATAAATCCTGCATTAATGACCGGAACTGACCAGCTGAATACAGGGATGGGCGGAACTGCTGGGTCCTACTCTGTAATTAATTTGTCCTTTGAATTAATTACAGGTTCCACTTCATAATTAATTCAGACACTGACGAAGAGGCCACATTAATTACAGATAGCCCCTAGTAAGGCAACAAAATCATGGGTATGCCAGGGCCAAGAATAAACAGAGCATTATATATATATATTTATAAAGCTACAATATTTATGTTTACTATAGCAGATTCATTTTATAACTGTGCAGTTGCTACATAACCACTTGGAAATCTCAGTTGGTTAGAGTGTGGTTCTGATAACGCCAAGGTTGCAGGTTCGATGGGGCAAATGCATGTTCCGGCATTGCAGGGGGTTGCACGAGATCAGGGTTTCCCAAACTTGGTCTCCAGCTGTTGTTGGACTACAACTCCCATCATCCTTAGCTAGCAGGACCAGTGGTCAGGTATGATGGGAACTGTGGTCCAAAAACAGCTGGAGACCCATGTTTGGGAAACCCTGGACTAGTTGATCCTCAGGGGTCGCTTCCAATCAATTCTTTGATTCTATGAATCCGTGCCTGAGTTTTGGTTTCCCCGCTCTTCACTCCTTGCCATGTTCATGTCACATCCTGGTTGCCATTGCCATGATAAGAGAACAAGGGAGGTGTTCATGGTGAGTTCCGGCACCTCTTTTTCTAGAAAAATAGCACTGGACAGGACCATATTGGCTCCCAGTACCTTTCCAAGCACAATTGAAAGTATTGGTGCTGACCTTTAAATGGATTTAGCATCTCCATCCCAATTGTTCAGCCCAGACACTGAGATCCAGCTCCAAGGGCCTTCTGGCAGTTCCCTCCTTGCGAGAAGTGAGGTCACAGGCAACCAGGCAGAGGGCCTACTCGGTAGTGGCACCCGCCCTGTGGAACACCCTCCTGCCAGATGTCAAGGAGATAAATAACTACACAACTTTTAGAAGACACCTGAAGGTAACCCTGTATAGGGAAGATTTAATGTCTGATGTTTTATGATGCTTTTAAATTTTAAATTTGTTGGAAGCCACCCAGAGTCGCCAAGGCAACCCACTCGATGGGATTATTATTAATAGGATTATTATTATTATGCTTTTGAATTATGGTGCTGGAGGAGACTCTTGAGAGTCCCATGGACTGCAAGAAGTTCAAACCTATCCATTCTTAAGGAAATCAGCCCTGAGTGCTCACTGGAAGGACAGATCATGAAGCTGAGGCTCCAATACTTTGGCCACATCATGAGAAGAGAAGACTCCCTGGAAAAGACCCTGATGTTGGGAAAGATTGAAGGCACAAGGAGAAGGGGACGACAGAGAACGAGATGGTTGGACAGTGTTCTCGAAGCTACCAGCATGAATTTGAGCAAACTGCGGGAGGCAGTGGAAGAAAGGAGTGCCTGGTGTGCTCTGGTCCATGGGGTCACGAAGAGTCAGACACGACTAAATGACTAAACAACAACAACTATTATTATTATTATTATTATTATTATTATTATTATTATTATTATAGTGGTACCTCGGGTTACAGATGCTTCACGTTACAGACTCCACTAACCCAGAAATAGTACCCCGGGTTAAGAACTTTGCTTCAGGATGAGAATAGAAATCGCACAGCAGCAGCGGGAGTCTCCATTATATAAAGTGGTACTTAAGGTTAAGAACAGTTTCAGGTTAAGAACGGACAAATTAAGTTCTTAACCTGAGGTAGGTAAAAGGTAAATGTACCCCTGCCCATACGGGCCAGTCTTGACAGACTCTAGGGTTGTGCGCCCATCTCACTCAAGAGGCCGGGGGCCAGCGCTGTCCGGAGACACTTCCGGGTCACGTGGCCAGCGTGACATCGCTGCTCTGGCGAGCCAGAGCCGCACACGGAAACGCCGTTTACCTTCCCGCTAGTAAGTGGTCCCTATTTATCTACTTGCACCCGAAGGTGCTTTCGAATTGCTAGGTTGGCAGGCGCTGGGACTGAACAATGGGAGCGCACCCCGCTGCGGGGATTCGAACCGCCGACCTTTCAATCGGCAAGCCCTAGGCGCTGAGGCTTTTACCCACAGCGCCACCCGCGTCCCTAACCTGAGGTACCACTGTATTATTAAGAAATCTCAGGTACAACTTTGCTTGCTATCCAGTGGATGACATTGGATTTCTTTCTTTCATTCACTAGTGGATGTTCACTCTCCCCCCCACCCCAATTCTCTTCACTGGCTGAATTGCTGCATTTTTCATATAGTGGCTCAAGGCACAGAAGTCCTTGCCCCCTCCCAGCTCTTGCAAGGCATCAAGCAGCCCTCTCTGCAGCAATCAACCTTCCTTACCACGACCCCGCCCCCTTCTCTCCCCCCCCCCGCCGCATTAAAGGGCCAGAGGCTCCCGCGAGAATTCCCTTCCCCATTCATTCCTTCTGGGCTGGAATGGAGCAGAGCGCAGAGGCAGCGCGCAAACTCGGCGCGCATGCCTGCAACTTATTTCGCGCGGCTAGGGGAGCTTTCTTTCACCCTGCGCGGTGGGGATGGACGGGGGGTGGGGTGGGGAAGAGAGAGGAAAGTTAGTCATGTGACCGAGGGGGAGGGAGAGAAAGAGAGAGAGAGGCAGACACACACAGAAAGGTAGGGAAGATGTGAAAGGGGCTGGATCCCAGCTGCTGCTGCTGCCGCTGCCGGAGGCGTGCGGGGAGAGCCAAACCGAGATTACATCTTCTCTTATCTTCAGCAGCAGCCCCCCAGGGAAGGATCCTGTATCTCTTGGCCCCTTCTCGTGCCGTTACGTTGTCGCCCCCTCCCCAGTCTGGAGCAGAGGCAGCTTCCCGGAGACCCAGCAGCCCCTTTCCTCCTGCCCCCCTCTCCCACCACCAGAGACATTTATTTGGGGTGGTGGTGGCTGTTCGGGGTGTACCCCCCCTCCCTCTCCATCTCCTCCAGCAGCACCTCTCCCTTCTCCTCCTTTCGGCTGTGTGGCTCCTCCTGGGAGGAGAAAGGGAAGAGAGAGAGAAGGGGGGGAAATAGAGAGAAAGAAGGAGCTTGTCAATTTCCTTTGTGTTTGGATTCTTGGATGCTCGGCGTGGATTCCGTGGCGCTGAACTCTTCCCCACCTCCGGCTGTGCGACTTTGAGGAGGCTGCTGGGGCTCCATCTCTGGGGGGTTGAGGGGTGGGGTTTTTTTGGGGGGGGCAGGCAGCGCTAACCTGGAGAAAGGAGGGCCCAAGGGTGCGGGTTGGAGGGGGAAACTTGAGGCAGGTGGGTGTCTCTGCGCTGGCAGGGCACCCACTCGACCTACTCCAGGTGCGTCGGTCTATTCCAGCTGGAGGGTTTTCTTCTCTCGCTCGCCCCACCGGATTGAACCACGACGAGGAGATTTTCCGGCGTGAAACAAGACAAGGCGGAGGGGACGGAAAAAGCACACACCACACACACACACCACCAAATCGGAAGCAACTTCTCCCTGTTTAATCCAAAGCATCTAACGGGGCGGGGAAAGAGTTCCATTTACTTATACGTGTGTGAATATATCCATATATATTTATGTGGTCGCTGCCTTCAATTCTGCAAGCATGAAAAGAAGAAAGGAGCCAACCTCTCGGGTGGAGGAATAGTTTATCTCTCCCCCTTCCCCCCCTCTCAATGGATTAAAAAAAATATCAAAAAGGGGGGTGCGGAATCAAGAGACAACCCCGCCACACACACCCCTCCTCACGCTTGCCTGTCTCTGCCTTTTGGATCAAGGCATTCTGTTCCTCTAATTTATTTTCTGCTGCCGAGGTTGGAAGGAATTACACATATCTCTTTTCCCAAGGAAGACCAGTGACCAGCCATTACTTTCCTGGGTTTGCTCGGAGGAATCTCTCGACATCTCTCTCGCCCGCCCCCCCGGGTGCTGACATTCCTTGGGAGTCTCCCTTTCTTGCCCCCTCCTTCTCCTTCTTCCTCCCCCCCCTTCCCTCGCTCCCTCCCTCCCTGTATTCCACCGGGGGGTGGGGGGAGACGAAGTTGGAGGGGGTGGGTAGGTGGGGGGAAGAGCAGGAGGGAGGGAGGGCGAAGGCAGTGTGGAGTTGTCCGGGGGTGGGGGGGCCCTGTTGTTGCGACGAGAGCGAGCGAGCCATGGACGGCCCCACACTCTGCAACGGCTTTCGCAAGAAGCGGCGCTCCCGCTCGCAGCGCGACCGGGCGAGGCGCTCCAAACGCGGATTATTACAAGGTGCTGCTGCTGCTGCTGCTCCCGGCGGGGCGGCTCTGGTGGTGGTGGCGGCGGAGCCCAGGCGGACGCCCCCCGCCCCGTCCGTCCTTTCTTCCTCGGGCTCCGAGCTCGACAACAATGGCAAGCCGCCGCTGCCGCCGACGTGCCGGCCCAAGCCCCCCAGGAGGAAGCGGAGGGAGTCTTCCTCGCCCGAGGAGGACATCATCGATGGCTTTGCCCTGGCCAGCTTCGTCACGCTGGAAGCCTTGGAGGTGAGGGCGCCCGGGCTCCCCGTCGGGGGTGGCGGCGGCGGGGCTATATTCTAGGGAAGCCCGGAAGGGGAGGGGGCGGCCGGGCTTGCCCTCTCGCTCATTGTTTGCTGACTGTGGGTGGGTGGGGGGTAATGGCAGCAGAGAGGGGTGTGTGCGTCGAGGAAGGAGGGTGTGCACTTTGGAGGGGGGGTCCTCTTTCCTCTCCTCTGGTCCCTACTGCTGGGATAACAACGCAGACCAGGAATCCCCATCTCCCTCTTTGCCCCCGCCCCCGAATCCCTTGGCTACTCCAAATATTTATAGGTCGATGTGGCTTCTTCCCCTGCCTTGCTGTGCGCTGAGTATATTTATTTTTGTTTGGGCTGCAGTTTGATGGATGTGCTGCTTTGAGGAGCGAGTTGGCTGGGGGTCTCTCCCCCCCCCTTCCCCTCGCTCTCTCCAGCTGTTGGGGAGTGGTGGTGGTGCTTTATGTGTTCGGAGGTGGGGAGGGAATCGGGGTGTATTCATTGCGAGCGAGAGGGGGGTGGGAAGAGGAGGGGCTTGGAGGAACTTGGAGGTGGCGGGGGGGGGGTGGCAGAAGGAGAGACGGGCAACGGCATTGGACTTGCATCTCCTTTATGCTCCAGAAGGGTTGGTTTATTTATTTGCTGGCCCTTTAAAGCATGGATGGAATGGAAAAGGGGTGTGTGTCTGAATAGATGTGCAAAAGAACATCCCCTGGCTGTCATCTGAAGGGCTGCTTGCAAGTGGAACCCGGTTGTCAATGTCGCCTTAATCCCCTTCCTCCCCTTCTTTCTCGTTGCAAAAAAAAAAAAAGTGCTTTTGTGTGTCTGGTGTGGACAAGTGGAGACTTCTCTTTATTCCACGCAACACTCGCCGGGTGCTGCTTTCTTCCCGCTCCCTCCCCACAATGCACTTTTCTCCTTCAGTGTTTCATTTCTCCTGGGGAGAACGGGGTATGTGTGTGACATCAAGAAAGGGCAAGTTGGAAGATGATGGGCAGGGTGAGATCTTACCTTGACATGATTTCTTGGGGAGAGGAAATCAGACTGGTATCGCTGAAAGACAATGCCAGTACTGTGCACATTGTCACAAACGTGGTGTGCAAGAGAAACAGGAGTTGTGGAAGAAGCATGTGGCTCCCCCCTTCTCCAAATCTGACAGTTGAGGGGTTAACATAATACCATCATTTCCCAGCTTCCTTCCATCTCTTCCCCCCTCCTCCTTGACCCCCATATCTTAGGGCTAATTTCTTGGTTTTGTCGATTTCATTCACTCCCTTTCCCCAAATCAGTTTCGCACAACTTTTTGGCCTTGGGTTTCCTGTTCTTTTTCATTGTGTTTACATTGCATGCCATTCAAGGTTAGACCTTTCAAGCTTAGGTGTCTTTCTTGAGTGAGTATGTGTTAATCCAACATGTCCTTGCCGTTTGGTATATCAAGATACCTACGTGTTTTATTTCTCTTGAGTTAAAGGCTGATTTGGACAATGGTTGCTGGCCCTTTAATTTGCAGAGAGAGAGAGAGAAAGAGAGAGAGTGAGAGCGAGAGAGAGAGTGCAAGCACACTATTCTGTTCCCACCCCCCTTTAGAATATGTGACAAAAATGCCTCCAGTTCTGATGTTCTTGTGAATTCAAAACAGCTGTTATGGTGTCCCTGGTTGTATAGAAACATTTGTGTACCAGTGATTTCCACTTACAATACCCACCTGGTGGTAAACTTCCTTGCATTCAATTCCTTCAGTCTCTCTCTCACCCCCACATCCCCACCAGTCAAAAATCCCTTCCTTCCTTGATTTGAAAAATAGAGGGATTCAAATTTTGGAGTTTCTCCCTCAAAAGCTACTGACATGCCTATGAACTGCCGAGTAGGCCAAGCCCACCATATAAACTCTCCGTACTTGCAAAGCATTTTCCTTTTCTGAATTTTCTGGCATTCATTAGATTAAAACACAAGCAAGGACAATAATCGCTGAAATGCATGAGGTATGGGATCAAGAAATATTGAGCTGCATGCTTTTATGGTGGGGGTGGAGAGAAAGGCTTGGATATCTTTATGTGGTGGTTTGAGGTTTGGCAAGTGTATACATTCTTTCTAGGCACAGTGTTGCCAGTTGCTGTTGTTGTTTGAGTAGTTTTGGAGCTTTGCTTATATGTATCTTGGCTCTATGGCCCCACGGTTTGCACTCTGTACGCAGCTTGGGGGTCCATATAGCGGTATGAACATCTCCTTCCATATTTTCCTGCCTATACAGTAAGATCTTTAGCTGAGGCCTTTCTCTTGAGTGTTGTCACTTGCTGAAGTGTGTAACACTCGCATGGGCTTTTCTGTGGTGGCCCCTTGACTTTGGAATAGTTTCCCTGGAGAGGCTGCACTTGTATTTGACACAGTGCAATCTTCTTGGTGCCAGGTTAAGACTTCCTTGTTTGCCCAAGCATTTTGAAAGTGTTCTGTTCCTATTCAGGCTGCTTTTCTGTTGTCTTCTAGGGCATTTAATTTTTTGATGATGGTTGATGTCTTGCTTTTATTGCTACACACACACACACACACACACACACACACACACACCATCCTTGGATCCATCTGGATGAAGGGCAGGTCAGACGTTATTAAAATAAACACACTTAAAAGAAGTTTAGGCAGACACCTGCCTCCACAGAAATCAATAAATATTCCATTGATTTTAGTGGACCTTATTCCTTTGAAAAGATGCTTAGGGTGACAGCCTCAGTTGTCTTATGGTGCCAAGACAAGCATACTCTCTCAAATGCTATTTTGAAAATAATTGTCGACGAGCAACAACCTTTCAGCAATGGGCTGACAATAGACAACATAGGTGTGCAGAAAGAGGGAGTTTGGGTGGGTGAAACTTGTCACATCACAATGGATCTGCAAAACTCACATTTGCTGAAGTCCCATGCTCTGTGTAACTAGATGCAGAAGAGCGGCTGTTAGGAAAGTGTGCCAGCACAATTGGCAACAACTGTTACGTCTAAGGAATGTATACATGGGGAGTGGGGAGCATTAACTGGTATGGTAAGTTGGCATGACACAATGATTAGCATTTCAGAATTGGACCAGAGGGACCCGGGTTCAAATTCTGACTCTTGCATAGGTGACAGCTCCTGGGGCCTTGGGTGCCCGAGCACCCAAAAAATTCCCCATGAAGGGGCTGGGCACCCACAAAGGCAGTGTCAGAGCCTTGCATGCCGTATGGCACCCATGACCCTGGGCACCCATGGACGTAGGGGCAAATTGGCACTTCTGGACTCACTGTATGACACTAGGCCTTTCTCACAGGGTTGTTTGGAAGATAATATTGTTGGGGTGTGTGTGTGCAGAGAACCATGTACTGTACCTTGAGTTCCTTGAAAGACAGGCAAGATGGAAATATAGCAAAAGTACACATAATAAAATTATTATTATTATTTCTTATTCTGGCAGCAAAAATACAAAAAGGACATTGCCCCCAAATTATTAAACCTATGTTGTCTGGATGCTGTTTTTATTTATAATCTGGTTGTCATGCTGTTATTTATTTATTTGACTCACTCTTAACTTCCATATTTTATAATAAGATGTATTTTAATCACTCCTGATATCATTTATGTATTACAAACCTATTTGGATATATTTTGCATATTGTGGTATTTTACTCATCTTGTTGTTGGTTCTGTTTTGTGTGACTGCACAGTGAAGGATTTGTTTTAATAGCGCAGTTGGCTGGAGCGTGGTGCTGATAATGCCAAGGTTGCAGGTTCAATCCCCGTATGGGACAATTGCATGTTCCTGCATCCAGGGGGTTGGAATACATTATCCTCAATTCTACAATTCTATGATTCTAAGTCCGCTTAAGTGAATGCATTTTCAGAATCCAGGGGGTTCGTTGGGGCGCTTTCTGGGCTGCCCCAGTTCAGACTGGAAGTGTAAATGCTGCATCTCTGAATGCTTATTGCCATGACAAATAAATTGTACGCAAGTGAAATGATTGTATGCCAGAAGTCTGGGTGAAGCCTTTTGCCCTGACATGCTAATTCTCTATAGACCATGAGCTTGTTTGTCATATGAGAATATTCAGTGCTCCCCCCCCCCTAAAAAAAATGTTTAGGGGTACTCTCATTTTCCTACTCATATTGAAATACCACCTCTCAATGATGCCAAACTTAGATCCACGAAATGTTTAGGGGTATGCGTACCCCTGCATCCCCCCAGAAAAAAGCACTAAAGGTAAAGGACCCCTGACAGTTAAGTCCAGTCGCGAATGACTCTGGGGTTGCGGCGCTCATCTCGCTTTACAGGCCGAGGGAGCTGGTGTTTGTCCGCTCCCCAGTCAGTTCTTCTGGGTCATGTGGCCAGCATGACTAAACCACTTCTGGCGCAACGGAAAACCAAAACCAGAGCAGCACACGGAAATGCCGTTTACCTTCCCACCGGAGTGGTATCTATTGATCTACTTGCACTTTTGGTGTGCTTTTAAGCTGCTAGGTTGGCAGGAGCAGGGACTGAGCAACGGGAACTCACCCCATTGCAGGGATTTGAACCGTCAATCTCCCTCCTTACTATTCCCCAGATACCCACAGCCTGAAATGGGACACTCCAGGAAAAACTTTGCCTTTCAGTGTATAAAATTGGTGCAGTGTAGGAATGAGCAAATCTCCCCATTTCTCTTTCAGTTACAGGGAACCAGGCAGAGGGCCTTCTCAGTAGTCCCTGTGGAACACCCTCCCATCAGATGTCAAGCAACTAAACAACTTTCTGACTTTTATAAGACATCTGAAGGCAGCCCTGTATAGATAACTTTTTAATGTTTGATGTCTTACAGTGTTTTAGTTTGTTGGAAGCCGCCCAGAGCGGTTGGGGCAATCCAGTCAGATGAGCGGCATATAAATAAGTTGTTGTTGTTAAGTGCACACAGCTGCTCTGTGTGGTTGGGCTGGCAGTTCGTTTTGTACTGCTACAGCACAGCACATATTTAGTCTTATTAAAACAATGACCCTG